AAATGAATTTTAATTTTGGGCGTATGTAAATAAAAGAGGAACTTAATAGAATTTGTCGAGTAAGTTTTTTTAAAGTTCAGTCTTACTGGGCTAGTGTGTGCATTATTGTGTAGAAATGAGACATAAGTGGTTTAATATTTCTGGAATTAATAAATTTTGCTTTATTCATTTTTTTTATCATAGTCTATAACGTTTTTATTTTTATTCAGATGAAATGGGGTGGGAGGCAGAGCGCTCTGTAATGTTAAGGAACGATTACGTCTTTTCCAAGAGCTGACCTGTTCCCAGTACAGATGGTAGTGGGTAGGGACCCACACAGCTCACCAGCTCCCCGTCTCCCCAGTCACGGGGGCCCTTCCAGCCAGGGCTGCTCTGGCCAGAGTGAGGCCTTGGATCACCTCAGTGTTGCTCAAAGATTGCGGTCTTTGGGTGGAAAGTAACTGTCCATGGCGATTTTATAGAGAGAGAGAGGGAGAGAGAGAGAGTGTAAGAAATTCCTTAGAGTTCTTTCATCTCCAGGTGGTATATTCATCTTTGATTTTGTTTTTCTAAAGTAGTTACCGGTGAAACTGTAATTTATCTGTACAGCAGTTGCATTTACAGATTTTTATGGCCAGTTTATAGTCATGAGCTACCCACGAAGTACAGATAAGATTCAGATAAGGAGAGATGGGAGAGATCCAGCCTGGAAAGAGGGAAGGGCCTCCCCGTAGAGACAGGCAGTCTGCAGAAAGGGACACGCTGACAGACGTGTAGGCAGAGTGCTCTGTTAAGTAAGGAATATTCACTAGGTAAATAGTGCGAGGTTGAGACCACATTTGGAAGATTCAAATGCCAACCAAAGTTTGGATACCTGTTAGAGCAGCGGTCCCCAACCTTTTTGGCACCAGGGACCGGTTTCGTGGCAGACAGTTTTTCCACGGACTGGGGGGGTGGCCCAGGCGGTGATGTGAGCGGTGGGGGTGGATCAGAGCAATGGGGGGATCCGGAGCGGATTATGAAGCTTCCCTCGCTCGCCCGCAGCTCACCTCCTGCTGTGCGGCCCGGCCGTTGGGGACCCCTGTCTTCGAATATTACTTATGTATCTCCCTACCCCCAAGAGTCTTTTTAAAAGATCATCTTTTATCATGGTGCTTTGTTGATGACTTTTAACTAAAGTCAGTTTTTATGACGAACCTTCAGTAGAGCTTTTAGATGCTCGTGGTCTTCTGAATTGAGGTCTCTAATAATCATGACCTCTCGTTTCTTCCTTGTGACAAGGAAGCATAAATTGAACTTACTTGGAACTAAAAGGAGCGGCTGTGACTTAGAATTTAGGTAACTTCCCGTCATGCGAGGCAGTAAGTCCAGCAGTTCTTCAGCGCCGTGCCTTCCTCGTCACCTGCTGCCTGACAGCGGTGGGTCCGAGTGTCTCAGAAATGCTTGAGGTTTCTAACTTTTTACACCAGTAGCTCCGCAGTGCTGTGTTGCCAGCTCCCAGATAACGCACATATCAGCTGCTTCTTAGCCTGCCAACGTATTCATTCAGTAAGATTCTGGATTTCCCCAGAGAGGGTTTTTAAAATAAGGAGTTGACCCTGTTGTTGTAGCCTGACTGCAGGGATTTTGGGAAGCGGCCCTGGCAGGGAGCTAGGGGAGGAGCCGCCTGTAACCGTCTGAGGGAACACAGGAAATCCCATGGGAACGTGAGCCAGCGAGAGGTCGCATCCTGCCTGGCCTTGGCAGGGTGAGCGGGCCGGCAGGTGGGCCTAGGGGTCCAGTGATAAAAGGACTTTGGCAGAGCCGTTGCATCCGAAAGTCGTTGTGTGGTGAGAACAGCATAAATGAAAGCAAGGACCTGGCAGCCGGGGGTGGGAGGGGGCATGTGCAGGGCAATCAGGTGGGCGTGGTGTGCTCGAACTTGAACTTGGGCGCCCACTGACAGATAGCTGGTGACCTGTTGGGTCAGGAGAGCTTTGTTGGAGGCGTGCGCTTCTGGAAGGGGAATTTTGTGAGGCAGGTTGGATAGAGGGGGCCAGCGGGCGAGTCATAAGGAGAGTTTTCCTCATTTTGCCAGAATTTTTCTGAAATTTATAATGTAAACTAATGCTTGTTTAAAGATGTGACTTCAATAAAAAAAAAATTTTAAATGATGCTGTTAAAAATATCTATTACAGGATCGGTTACTTGAATACTTAGAACTTAGACTTATTAAATTTCGTATTGCATGTAACGCGTAATAAATTATCTGTTTAAAAACATGAGGCTTTGGGGTTGTTTCCGTGCTACTTGCAGCTCATGTGGAGTCTGCTGAATTCAAGCCTGCGTATTAGTTGTCTAAAATACAGGGCGGTCGTGAGATCCTAGAGCCCGGTAGTTACCCGCAGGCGTGTGATTACTGGTCTAAAGGAAGAGGTTGAAGACAGGAAGTAATAATGTAGTGAAGCTACAGTTTATCGTGGACGTGCAGCCGGGGCACCTTCCTGGAGGGAAAGCTGTGACTAACGGAGGCCCTGACGGGTATGCGGCGAAGAGCGCGTTTGCGAGTTCTTGGTTTATCCAGAGGAAGCAGAACAGCATTTTCATGGTTTTCTTGTACTTTCTATTTTGTGACTTTAAAAAGATTAAAGTTTTCTTATCACTTTAATTTGTCCAAATAAATGAGATTTTTTTCTTTATTAATAATAACCTTTCATACCAGAAATGGGGAGGGGGGCTTGGTTCAGTGTTCTAAAATATCCAAATATGTATTTGGTATTTTGTTTACATCAGTTACTAAAAATACTGTCTTACTGGTATTACTGCTAGAGATTTCTTTTGTCAAAGGTAGTAGTGATTGACTATCTTATTAAAAGTACAATTTTTATTATCTAAATTACAAGGACAGTATTGCATTCCCAAAAAATAATGCTTGTGAAAATGTAGTGTGTCCATTCACACTAAAAACTGGGATTTTGAAGTTTAATAGTCAGTCAAATAGAGAGCAGAAGAAAAAAGTAACTATGCTTTTAGAACCTTTCCCCCAAACGCTGGCCTTGTTACAAGGAAATAATCACGCAGCGTTTGCAGAAAAAGATAAAGAGGGATTTTCAGTACCCCAGTCAGAAATATTATCTGACATCCGCAAAGAAACCTACTCTAGAATATGAGCTCCTTTGGGGGTGGGGACGTGGGGAGGTGTCTGTTTTGTTCATTCACGTACCCAGAGAGCTTAGGGTGGTACAGGCATTCAGTGACTATTTGCGGAATGAATGCAGCTGTTATTCAAACAGCCCAATTAGGTAATTAATCATAGATTACATCGAAGTATAGAATGTTATTTGAAGGAGTCATTTAATTAGGTAATATAGGAGGGGTGCCCACTTTAACAGATGGGGCAGGGGGGGCTGCCCTAGAAGTAGTGTCCCACGGATCATCTTAGGCCTCAGGTTCAAGGAAACCATATTGGCACAAGGGAAGTCAGATGAAAGCTGTACTTATTGCTTTTTTGCTAAGCGATAGGCTAAAATTCAGAAAGTTCCCGTTTATTGAGTGACTATATATACATATATGTACACACACGTGTGTGTGTGAAATTTCAAATGTACGCAGAAAAGTACAGTATTTCCCCAGTATCCCAGTAATTTTTTACGTGAGGCAGCAGGGCCAGCTGAGTCCTCGGGGCATGTGGTTGGGTGTCTGGACCGGGCAGGAGACGTGTAATGAGGCAGGGTGGTGGATGTCGACGTATAGACAGACAGAAGCGGAGAGGGGTCTTGAGGGGAACAGTCGGGAAACCTCAGCCAGAGGGTCAGGAGCTGCTGAGGAGAAAACGGATTTTACTTACCGTGGGTAGAGCTTTTGTAGAATCAGCTCCCAGATAATGTAACCCCCGGAAGCCTGGAGTGGAGCTGTTGTGTTGAGGCAGTGTGTATGGTCTTCAGAAAGAGGTAAGTGGGAGGTGCTCTTAGGCTCACAAAACGGCACCCCTGCTGGGTTTTCCCTGAGGCGGGAGGTTGGGCAGACTGCCCTCTTTTACCCTGTTCTGTCAACTAAAGGGAAAAATAAGTTTTCAAGTGGAAATTTGGGAGTTCCAGAGTGTTGTAGAAAATTGGTGTCAATTAAGTCATTGGTTGAACTATCTTTATACCTTTCTGTGATACCTTATGTTTTTGCTTTTGTGATACAATATTTCATAAGTACTGAGGTTCGAGCTGAGAAATACGTTCTCGGTTGTAGAATATTGGTAGTGACATCCAAATGACGTTTCATACGTATGAATGCTTCCTTTGGTGGCCCTAATAAATTATCTGAAATTCAGATGTTACGTTGGAGTTGTAACGTCCAAATAGAACACTGGCGATTCTGTAAGGCAATTGTATCTGTTTCTTCCATCCGCCTCACAGAGGTTCCTCGCCCGTCCGTGATGTAGCGTGCAGTGAAGCTAGTGCACGCGCGCGGGCTGCGCGGGCTGGTGCTTGTAGTTCAGGACTTCCTTAGGGTTACAATGCGTGATCCTTAAATTGCAGCAGTGTAGAGTATTTTCTGCATAATTGTCTCTCCCCAAGTCCCTCTTCTTGTTTGCCACAAGAAGGTTTTCCTTGTTTTAGATTTTAAACTTTACGGGTGTAAGGGGAGGTGGGTAAGCTTTGGAACGCAGAAACCCTCTGGTGAGCTGCTCTTGTATCGAGGTGAGCAGCAGTGCTTGCTGCGAGCGTGGCCCACGTACACTTGTACCGCCAGGACTCACCTCTGCCTGCAGGACTGCAGGTCGGTCGTGGTCACCTCGCCAGCTGGCTGGTGATTGACTGATTTTTCAGAAGTAGTTTTTCTTAATTTGGAAAGACAAAGTGGGTGCATTTCCTGTTAGTTTCTTTATATTTACCGGAGTGTTGATTCTATTAATATAGTTTTCGCAATTCTAATTTTCATGTAAAAACAATAGCTGAGACTTTACTTACAGTCATCTGTATGCATGTTTTATTTTTACGTTTCTTACTGTGTATTTTCAGTACGGTGTTTTCCACCTTGTTTTTGTTTAGGGTGCTGGTCAAGACAAACTTGGAATCTACGTCAAGTCTGTTGTAAAAGGAGGTGCTGCTGACGTGGTGGGTATGACTCTTAAAGCGGCCAGCTCTCAGTGCGCCGTGTGTTTAACAGACGACATGCGATGTTCCGGCTGTTTTAGCCTGTGGAAAACCCAAGTCTGAGCGTACTTACCGTTGGCTTCCTCTCCCCCCTTCTCCCTCTGCTGTCCCCCCCTCCTCTCCTGTCCGCATGCCTTCCGGGTGTGTCCAGGACGGGCGGCTGGCTGCAGGTGACCAGCTCCTCAGCGTGGATGGACGGAGTCTGGTAGGACTCTCTCAAGAAAGGTATCGTTTCTTTATCTGTTTAAAGCTTAAGAAGAGCACTTTTTAGGGATATTTCATATTAAATTTTGGAATTGGAAGACGAAAAACCATGCTAAAAACTATGCCCTTCCTCTCTAAGTGTAAAAGTCTTAGTGTACATGAAAATTATGTATTTTAGTCTGAATACGTTTCTTTGACTCTTAGCACTTGCTGAAGTTTCTGGAAGTCATCTACTGTTCTTATTGATAGTCAGAGGGAGGGAGTCTGTCAGAACTTGACTCAGGCTGGCGGGTGAGGCCGGCGGGCGTGCTGGCCTCGCCCTGACCGCAAGCTGCCGTGGGGACAGGACGGGTGCCTGAATCACTTCTCTTACAGCCGTGATGCTCTCTTCCCAGGGCAGCAGAACTGATGACAAGGACAAGCTCCGTGGTGACGCTGGAAGTAGCAAAGCAAGGAGCCATTTATCACGGTCTCGCTACCCTGCTCAATCAGCCGTCGCCCATGATGCAGAGAAGTAAGGACTGCGGGTCGCCGCCGCCCCCACTGACTGCTGCCAGTCGTAGCTCATGCTTACTGATCACCTGCCGTGTGCCAGGCTTTTTCCAGTCGTGGCCTCGTCTAATACTCACAGACCCTGTGGAATAGGCCCTGTTGTCGTTACTACCCCGGTTTTAAAGAAAGACGCGAGGCTGAGCGCGGTGCCCAGGATTACTAGATCATGGGCTGCGGGGGCCAGTCGCGCTATGGTGGTGGTAGTTTATTAGGGCCCCCCCCCCGGCAAGAGCCACTGACAACGTGCACACGCCTGGTGACTGCAGGGGACCCCGCACGTTCCACATGCCAGCGGCACTCGGGGCACTTGGTCGGTAGTAAGTGGAGGAATGACTTTTCATCTTTGACAGACAAACACACGCGGGATATAAAGCCTTCAAAGAACAAGTAGAATCCTCTCCCGAAGGAATGTTTACACGCGTGTGTATGAATAGTTGTTTCAGTCTTGCATGCTCTGAGATGGGGCATGACTGTTATGTAGAGAGTTCACTTTAACTAAAAAGCTCAGTTTTTGAATGAGTAATTTGTTGGTGGGAACCGTGGTTTTGTAGTACATCAAAAACCTCAGAATAAAATCAGTATAAATGTGGGGCTTTGTAAAGAATTAGCTGAGAAACCAGGGGAAAACCATGATGATGCCCATTGTCTGTGAAATCCCCACATACTTTGTACGTCCTTGGCTGGCTGTGTACATCCCCAGAGCCGGTGCCCTGGGTGAGCCCGGAGCCCATGCCTGGTAGTGACTGCAGCCGAAGCGCTGAGAGCCTGGAAGACAGACACAGGCCTCCACACGGCACTGTGGTTGTGCTTTTTTCATGACATGGTGCTTAACATATGGTTGTCTGATGCCTTAGTTTATAGTCATTTGAAAGAAGCAGACTAGGTGATGAGTTTAGGACCAACGGGGGAAACTGTTGGAATAAATAATAGGTCAGGGCCGTGGAGTGAGAGGACAGGAAAGCTAGAAAGTAAAGAGTGAGTAATCACAGCAGTGACACAGCGGTTCCCGATGAGGACAGCAACCCTGGGTGACTAAAGGAATTAATACACGTTTTAAAAACTGAGGGAAGCGAGTTGATGTTTCAGCCAGAAGAGTCACTTTAACAGTAATCCTGTTGCCTAAGCAGGTACGCTAGTGAGAAAATGAGCTTTGAAGGAGTAGTTTCTCTCGTCAGTGACCCTTAAATGTTGCTTCCTTTGAAAACTGCCTAGAGATTCTTCAGAAAGATTTTACTTTTATATAAAAATCCCCTCATTTCTTCTGGTAAAAACAGATTCTTACTCGTGGAGTTTTCAGTATTTGTAGCTTCACCTTTCCTTTAAGACTAAACGGTGTTTCAGATAAGATCTTGAACAAAGGAACAGATCTTGAAGGTGTTTTGATTTCAGTTTCAGATCGTCGTGGATCAGGTAAACCCCGACCAAAGAGTGAGGGTTTTGAGCTCTATAACAATTCAGCTCAAAACGGGTCCCCGGAGAGCCCTCAGATGCCTTGGGCAGAATACAGCGAACCAAAGAAGCTGCCTGGCGACGACAGGCTGATGAAAAACAGGGCTGACCACCGCTCCAGCCCCAACGTCGCAAGTAAGAGGAGCCTCGCGGCCCTTCTCCCGTCGAGACGCGCGCCCCGCCACGTGCCCGCTCACAGCCAGAGGGAGGAGGGCGCCCCGGCTTTGCTGCGCATTAAAAGACCATTATTACCTGCGTAGATTAGCCAGCTGGGATGTGTTTTTCATGAAAGATGCTACAGCTAAGGTGCTAACAGGAAGTAAAAACTAGTCCGGGAACTTCGATTCCTGGATGCTCCGGGCAGGTACACTGATGAGGGGGGAGCACAGGTTGCTGGATGCCCCGTGGGGCAGCAGACAGTCTTCATGGTGTTAAAGGGTTGTCAGCAGGAAGCAGCAGCTTCCTGGGAGGAGACATGCCCCAGATACCAGGTTCGCAGATACAGCTTCGTGGCTCCGGGCTCTTGATGATTCAGGAGGCGGGAGTGGGCGAGGTGAGCCCTCACCTCCACGCGCCTTGTTTCTGTGTCTGTGCTCTCGACACCTCGCTGGCGGCGTGCAGGTGCCCGGCGCGAGGTTACTGCCTGTAAAGAGCTCTCGCGATGTTACGTGGGGCTTGCTTATTTAACGTTAGCTTTCTTTCCTGTTTTCCACCAACAGATGAGCCCCCTAGTCCCGGCGGGAAAGGCGCCTATACCTCTGGGACAGCGGCCAAGATAACGTCCGTCTCCACTGGAAACCTCTGCGCTGAGGTCTGAGACGTGAGCACACAGATGCTCCGACAGCAGACCCTTGGGTTCCCCCAGGGGGCCTGAGTTATCTAGGAAAATATTCTCACGGTTTCTGGTTCCTGAGTGTTTGGGTTTTGAATTTTTAATATAATGGGTAAATGAGCTTTCAGTTAGTAAGTCGGGGCAAAATAAAATGTTTTTAATTATTCTCAGTCCAGGATCCGGCACTTTAAATTTTTAACACCGCTTGTAAAATACACGGACCCTGCTTTAAAAGCGGGCCTTGGAAATTGGATCGGTCCGCGGTGCGGACTGCGGAAAGCTCAGCTGCCTTCCTCTGCCCGTCTGCAGGAGCAGACCCCTCCTCCCCGAGCTGAGGCCTACCCCATCCCGACGCAGACCTACACCAGGGAGTACTTCACCTTCCCGGCCTCCAAGTCCCAGGACCGCACGGCTCCTCCTCAGGACCAGTGGCCCCGTTACGAGGAGAAGCCCCACATGCACACGGACAGCAGCCACTCCAGTACTGCAGTCCAGGTGAGCGGGGCGGGGTCCCGACACGTCCTTGGCCCTCGAGGGGACCAGCTTGCGGGAAAACGGAGGGATTTCCGGGGCACAGCTGCCGTTTTCTGCAGAGCAGCACTGCTGGTCCTCTCTTTGTTTCTCTCGGGTTTCGTGGTCACCTGAGGAAAAGAGGGCATAGGAGAGAATACTGAGCGTGAAAGGTGGTTCTCTGCTCTCTTGCTGAAGGCTTCACTAGGGCCTGTAGGCGAGGCTCACCGATCCTGGAGTGGGGCGGGGGGAAGCAGGAGGCGTCCCCGGCACTCGGCGCGCACCGGCGGCTGTTCCAAGCCCCGGGAAAGCTGAGACGGCCGTGGTCCCGCCCGTGAAGCTGAAGCTGAAGCTGGGGTGGGACGCTCACCTGGACCGTAATCACGTGAGCTGGGTTCTGAGCTGGGGGTACGAGGCCCGAGGAGGGTCGCCTCGGCAGGGGCAGCGTGAGCGAGGCCGGGAGGAGCCCCGTCTGACGGGCCGGGCACGAGTCGCCTGGCGGTTCCGTTCGCCCTGAGGCAGACCTCCTTCCGTGCATGGAGGCACGGGGGTTGGACAGCGCCAGGGACCTGCATGCCTACGGCCTGTGAGTGCTGTTTGCCTCGGCCTCCCAGCGTGGGTAATAAGCACCGGAGGAGGGCCGGGGAGCTGAAGGGCCACTTACGTGGTGGCGAAATGGCCACGAATCGGACAGGACTTACCGCGGGGGGCGAGTGGGCGCCAGCAGCGAAGTGAGGCCCTCGAGGAAGGCGAGGGGTGGCCTTGCTGTCACTGGGCTGCGAGGGCTAGCGGGCGTGTGGTCTGGACGCACCAGCTCCAAAGCTTTGGACTCGAGAAGCGCCGTCCACACGCAGCAGGCAGTCTGGCCGTGCTTTCGCGTGAGCTGCAGGTCGTGCGCCCAGCAGTCAGAGAGCTGCGCTGCTGCGCACACGGCAAAGCTGTAGAAAATGTGGGAAGTACGTGTTCCATTTTTCTAGCAGGCTGCTGGTGTTTCAAGTGATACATTTCATTTTTTTGTTCTTGGTGTGCCTTTTGAGAAAAGGGAAACAGTTTATTTTCCAGATTTGTGTCTTCAATTTCTACTCATTAATAGGGCTGGAAAGAAAACCGTTTGGCTGGGACATCATTCATAGCAGATCATTTTCTGGGGGCTTCCCTGGTGGCTCAGTGGTTGAGAATCTGCCTGCTAATGCAGGGGACATGGGTTCGAGCCCTGGTCTGGGAGGATCCCACATGCTGCGGAGCAACTAGGCCCGTGAGCCACAACTACTGAGCCTGTGCATCTGGAGCCTGTGCTCCGCAACGAGAGAGGCCGCGACAGTGAGAGGCCCGTGCACCGCGATGAAGAGTGGCCCCCACTTGCCACAACTAGAGAAAGCCCTCGCACAGAAACGAAGACCCAACACAGCCAAAAATTAATTAATTACTAAACAACTACCCCCAGCATCTTAAAAAAAAAAAATCATTTTCTGTCGCATCACGCCACTTTCAGACATGCCTCTTCCACGCGCAAGACTAGCCTCGGAAGCAGGTGTACTCTGTTTCGTACATGTGCAGCGGGTGTGTCCCTCAGATCATCCCGCCGCCTTTCTGAGACTCGGGTACAGGCTCATCCCTCCTCGCCGCGCCCGGCTCTGTCTGTGCGCTCGTGGGCCCGTGGGCCCGTGGTCAGCTGGCGGGACTCGGAAAGTCGCGGATGGATCACGTGGCTAGGATTTGATAATTAGTCTGAATGCTAATTAGAATTTTACTGCAGAGAAGTAGTTCTTGTCGCTCTTCACGACACAAGACTAAGCACATTCCTCTGCTCAAGGTCAGCCCCATGTCTGGCACCGCAGTGTAGACGCCCGTGAGGCCCCAGAACAAGGACGGTGCCGGATGTGGAGAGCCCGAGCCTTCGTGCATTTCGCTGTTTGGCCATTGATGTGGACAGGACGCGCCGCTTTCCCTTTTCCCCTTTAGCTTTCTAACAGATACAGACGTCCTCTGGGAAAGCACCGTCTCGGGATTAGCGCTGGGTGCGGGCAGCCTCGGCCCGTCCTGTACGCTCACCGCACACTTTCCCTAACACTCCTTTCTTCCTGAGCTGAACTGTTTATGTACTCTCAGTAACTTCTGACGGTGGCTGAAACACAACGGTTTCCCGTTTTCTTTTTCCAGCGCGTGACCCGGTCCCAGGAGGAGCTCCGGGAGGATGTCGCGTACCACCTGGAGCGGCAGAGGGTGGAGGCAGCGATGGAGCGCAGGTCTGACGGCGGCGACGCGTGGCTCAACCAGGGCTCCTCGCTGGGCTCCAGCACCTCCAGCCAGGAGCACCTGGGCCCCCCTTCCAAGGCGGGCACCCCCGCGTCCACGCTCACCAAGAGCGGCCCTGGGCGCTGGAAGACCCCAGCCGCCTCCCCGCCGGTGCGGACCGACCCGCCCCCCGGGCACTACGGCGATGGGGACGGAGTCCCCGCGGACTCGCCCCTCCCGCCGCCTCCCAGCGGCGCCCAGGCGGCTGCAGAGCGGAAGAAGCGGGAGGAGCAGCAGCGCTGGTACGAGAAGGAAAAGGCGCGCCTGGAGGAGGAGCGTGAGCGCCGGCGGCGGGAGCAAGAGCGCAGGCTGGGCCAGCTTCGGGCGCAGGCGCCGCCCCCCGGGCCCCCGCCCCCCGGGCCGCCCTCGCCCGCCGCCCCGCCGGCCCCCGCCCGCGCCCCGGACACCGTCATCCGGGAGCTGCAGCCCCAGCAGCAGCCGCGCACCATTGAGCGCCGGGACTTGCAGTACATCACGGTTAGCAGGGAGGAGCTGGCCTCGGGGGACAGCCTGTCCCCCGACCCCTGGAAGCGGGACGCGCGGGAGAAGCTGGAGAAGCAGCAGCAGCTGCACATCGTGGACCTGCTGAGCCGCGAGATCCAGGAGCTGCAGGGCAAGGCCGAGCGCTCGGCCGAGGAGAGCGACCGCCTGCGCAAGCTCATGCTGGAGTGGCAGTTCCAGAAGCGGCTGCAGGAGTCCAAGCAGAAGGACGAGGACGACGAGGAGGAGGAGGACGACGACGTGGACACCGTGCTGCTCATGCAGCGCCTGGAGGCCGAGCGCAGAGCGCGGGTAACGGGGCCGGGCGGGCGGGTGGGCGGGCACGCGGCACGGGCTCCCAGCCTCCGCGGGGCGTGGGCGTGGCCGGAGATGCTGTCCTGCGGCGCCGGGGCGAGATGCTCTGGGCACGAGTGCTGGAGAGGCGCTGGTTCTGCGCGGTCCGACGGCGCTTGACAGCAGTGGGGCGCCCACTGGCTGCGGCCGTCTGGCTGGCACGTGGGTGGAGAAGACGCGTTAATAACCGGTGATCACCGTGATCAGGGGTTGGCAACGTGTCTTTCAACGGCTGCAGAGTAAACGTCTCTCAGGCTCTGTGGGCCGGACAGGCTGTTAACTGCCCCGCTCTGCCGCCGTCACCGGCACACGGAGGCAGGCGTGCAGTGCCCTGAAGCTTCATGCCGGGACGGGCTGCCCCTGGTCTCCATGGTCCGTGCTCCCCAGGGGTAGCAGAGGAGCGGTTCACAGCTCAGGGTCAGGGCCGGCGTCACGGCCCAGATAGAGGGAGACTCTCGAGTGTTATTAAAGTGCTAAGCAATTATATTTCAGTGGTAGCTTAAAGGGAGTGAGAACTTAGAATTTTATTCATGGTTCTCCATGTTATAAAAATAGCTTCTATTCCTTTTGTGTCAAGTCAAAGAAGAAAACTTAAATTTATATTAGTTTAATGCAGTCGCTTGTTAAAGTGCCGCATCTGAGATTCTCTGTTACCCTGTGTATCGGGACAGTTGTTGACAGAGAAGCATTTACTGGTATTAACTTGCAGTGAGTGCTAGGGACTATTTTACGTTAATGCACTTCAGTGATTTTTTTTTTTTTCAGATATAATGCAGTATTCTGAGAAAAAACAGCAAAGGGCATGTCCTTTTTGTCTTTTGGATTTTGTTTCTAATTCCACCTCTGATGTCATCTGTACTGGAGACCTAAACCAAGGGTCTCCTGTCCCGTCAGACCCTTGAATCTTTCCAGCTCAGGATGAAATTCAATCCTAGACCCTCGGCAGTGAGTGCCTTGAGCCGGCACTGTGATGCCTTTTCACTTTGCTCTGAATTATTCTCCTGGAATGTCACCGCACACACTTCTTGTTAGCTCTGTGTTCTCAAGCAGACGTATATGTAACTTGGTCCAAAATTCAGCTGGAATTCCTCTGAGGAAACTTAAATTTCTTAAGTGAAGGTCTAAATGGTAAACATTACATTGTTCTATTAGTAGTTTCCAAGTCATCAGTAGTAAACGTCCTCAAAAACAAGTGTATTTACCATCAATACTGTTTTGTTTGAAAGAGCAGCTGTTTGATGAAGGACTGATTATGTTCCGCATAAGGATCCTTTGAACTATGTCCACTTTCTGGTCAGCACTCTGGCCCGTCTGTAGGTGGTTAGCTGTGTGCCTGTCACGGCCGCCACCCCTGCTCCACCCGGGTCCTAGTGGACGCGCTGCAGGTGGGCTCCCCGAGAGGCTGCTGTGGCCGTGGCCCTGGGGCTCTGTCCCCACAATGCGAGGCAAGAAGGCTTACCTCTGACGCAGCCTTAGCTCTGAATCTAAAGCTGATGTTTATGGTAAATAAGTGGATGTCATTAATATTTACTGTTGAGGGAGAAGTTAGAAACCACGTTGCAGTATTTCTATAATTATGCTTTCCTCTGAAGGCTAAAATTTTATTGAATGTCTCTCAGTTTTTCCAAGTGATTAAAAAACACTGAATATTTCAAAGCTTCTTAGTATGAATTACGATAGTTTAAAGTATCTGTGTGTTTTATCATTACTTATTTTAAGATTAATATGTTAGTCTCCAAATAAGAGAGCTAAGGGAAATTTTACTCATTTTAGTTGCTGTGTGTCTTAATAATAAAGCTCAAGGATTTAATACCATGCGGGCATTTTTCTATTTCTGAATACTGGAAATTGGTCTGTAGTTTCCGTACTTTTCTCACTGGGTTGTCCTTCAAACACAGATGGAGCATGGGAACCACAGATACGCTGGTGGCGGATACAGATCTAAACTGAACCTTTTTTTCACACTTCATCTTTCTTTTTTTTTTCCTTCTCTGTTACCTGCAGCAGACTGCTATGCCAGCAATCTCTGTTCTAGATTTGGTATGTTCTTGTTTCTTTCCCTTGGGTACTTTTTTCCTGTCTTGATTTCCTTTTTTTCCTTTTAGTGGTGGTGGTTTTATGTTTTCAGTAGATCTGGTTCTCAGGGGTGTCCTAGATCAGGATCTGTAGTTCCCTGACTCTAGAAGCATGCTTTTGAATGTGTTTAGATTTAGTTATTCTTTGCTTTTTCTCTGTTACTTTTTAACTGTTACTTACTGTTTGTTTATGGTTTTGACCTTTACTCAGTTTTAGTCATAAAATTCGTACTCTGTATTCTTACGTACTCATAAATACATAGGCAAATGAGAAATTTTGCAGTGAGTAATCTATTTTTTTCTTGTTACATTAGAAATACGTTTTAAGTATTCATCATTAGAAGCTCAGTTCAACTGGTATTGACATTGTTTGTCACTTAAGATGTAACTGTCTAGGGTGTAACTGTCTATTGGCAGAGAAAGAGGAATTTCCAGTAAACATTTAGTCTGTGTTTTCTTCAGTAACACCACATGATTTTAGTTTAGTTTATCGGCTATACCAGTTCATTGCCAAAAAATACTTGAGGCCGCATTCTGCTGTAACTGATGCGTTTATGTCCATATTGGGGAAATTGAGCTGCTCGTTTAGCACCCTCGTGCTTGAGGGCGGTACCTCTCGCGGCTGCCAGACACTCATGCTCTGGTGTATTGATACTGACTCTAAGTCAACATTTGTTAGTCAGCTTTTAAATGATACAAGGCCAGTATCTGACAATACTTTTTAAAAAATCTCTGAATCCAGGTTTGACGCTAATGGCCTTTTCACCAAATAACAGCCCTCCTTTTTTTGTTTTGTTTTGTCCTTTTTTTTCAATGTAAATAGCATGATGGCAGTGTCACTCCAAAGGGAAACCTCTTGAAAACATCTCTCCTTGATGACTGAGAGGCATGTTTTCTGGGCTTTGTGTTTTTCTCCGTATGAGACAGAGACGAGAAGTAATCTGCTTCTTTCCCTGCCTCTCTGTGTGTTAAGGTGTCCGAATGGAAGGGGGTGGGAGACACCAGTCAGTCCCACTCGTCTCTTCAGGTACCAGGTCCTTGTCACACGCGTGCAGGCCAGGCAGCCTGGGGCCTCAGCTTTGAGATGCGCCGACTGAGGCCCCAAGAGAATCCTGAGTCGGGGCGGGGGGGGGGGGGGGGGGGGGGAGCGTGGTGGTGACAGGTGAGTGACAATACCCAAGGGTAAAGGGTGCACTAAGATTTTTATTTCAAAGGCGTAGTTCGGGGTTTTCTTCCTTTAAAAGATAATTATTTCGAGTGCTGATGTTGGCGGTAAGCACCGTGTTTCCGAGCATTTCTTAGCCTGATTCCCCAGCAGAAGTTGAGCTCTTGCCTTGTCCCGGGGGCTGTTAGGCACTGGCCCCCTGGGGACGATGGGGACCGGGTACAGGCGTGTGCCCGCTTGTGCAGGGCCCCGCCCGTGCGGTCTGTAAGGCCTTTCCTTAGGCTTTGTCCCGGGATATTTATGGTGACGCGTGGGATAAATGGGAGCTTCGGCGAGGTGGCGAGGCTGCCCTGGCGGCTCTGGTCCCCGGGTCCCTGAGTGCCCGTCGCCCCGCGTGGGCCCAGGGCCGCCCTCCCCTGCGCTCACCCACCTCCTCCCGGACCCGAGCCTCCCGTGCACTTGCGTACGGGACTGGACGGCGAGCTGCCGTCTGCTGCACCTGCAGCTTCCCCGCCGCGCCCGACTCTCCCAGTCGCCCAGTCTGGGGAGCCTGCGGTTGCCATGGCGCCTCTCCCCTCCCTGCAGAGGGATTCCCAGCTTCCTGGGAAGCTGACCACCTGCAGAGTGGCTCGCTCGCCCCGGGCCCGTGCTCCCTTTGCAGACTCTCCTGCACACGGCCGCCGCCGCCCGGCAGGTCGCAGAAGCCCCGCGACCCTGCAGCGGCCCCCTGCCCCTCCAGAAGCGCCCCGGGTCTCCCGGCCCGCAGGACGCCTCCCGGCCCCACCCGGCGCTGCGGCCGCGCCTGCTGGCCCTGCTGACCTCTGAGGGGCAGCCGGTCCTGCCCCCTGCAGACAGGAGGGGAGCTCAGCCTTCACTGCTCTAGGCGGCTGGGTGACCGCTTCTGTGGCCCTCCCGTCCGTGACAACTGCAACGTGCGCAGACGAGAAGGGCAGGCCTAGTACCCAGTGTCGTGTAGACTGAGCGTAGAGATCCTGACCAGGATATTCTGGGTTCATATTTAGTATTCTTTGTGCTTCACGAAAACGTCTGCTGCTCATCAAACGGTTACTGCGAACCATCTTTCAAGGAGACGCTTCCGAGACCAGCAGTCTCTCAGCCAGCTGGCCCGTCGCAGCTTCGTCTCCTGCCAGTTGAGTGGTTCATCTTCCGTCTCAGATGACCCGACAGCTCACGGGAAGAATCCCTCCCCCTTGGGTAGAGCAGGGAGGGGGTGTTTTCAGAGACGCTGTGGGCTGCCTTCTTGTTCGGCCTTTATGTAGAAATTGGCCATGGTCCTCCGGAGCATCTCCGGTATGGAAGCAGTTGAATTAGACGCTTTGTAGAAACCTCAAGCAAGAATCAGTAGGAACCTTAACGGAGAGTTGTGCCTGCGGAGGCGCCTGTCTCAGAAGGCAGCAGAGCGTTCTCTGCCTGTTGAGGTGGGAGACCCTGCCCAGGATGTTGAGGCTGGAGGGTAGACACAGCCCACCTTCGGGAAGCGTCAGTTTTATTCAAGGAGGAGAAATAAGTTCATACTCAAACCAGCATGTGTGCGTTTGGGAGTAGAACACGAAGTTCCTGTGGTTGTGTCGGGGGAGAACAGCTGCCCTAGGCGAACGTCAGATGTCTGCTCTGGGCTGCTGTGAGCCACGCTTCTTACCTGTCTCTGCTGCTGGAGTAGGCCTGCACCTGTAGGTCTCCCCTTAGAACTCTGGACAGAATCATGTTCCTTCAGTTACAAAGAAGGGGACGGCTGCACCCGGGGCAGGGAGCCCCACTGACGGAGGGCCGAGAGCTGGTGTCGTCCAGTGGCAGCCCTTCCCATTTGCTGATGGGGAGGGCCCTCCCTCCAGAGGGAAATTCCACCCCCCACCCCCGCCCCGAGAAGAGACGCGGCAGGAAGCTGCGTGTGCTAGGACAGGACGCCAGAGTCCTGTCCTAATAAGTGGCCTATCGGGGCCTCTTTATCTGGGGGCCTTAAAGTTGTTTTAGGGTGAGTATTTTTAATGGGTGGGAGCATAAGCAGAAAAGGCCTGCAGAGAGAAAGGGTGATGTGCTTAACAGACTTACAGTTGCTTTTCAGAGAAAATGTCAAAAAGTAAAGGATGTTTTGGCCCCGTTTTGTATTCAGATATTTCAACATGAAATTAAAGATATAAGTTACTGTATTTTTGTGGAACAAAAGTATAAAGTATAGGGCTTCCCTGGTGGCGCAGCGGTTGGGAGTCTGCCTGCTGACGCAGGGGACACGGGTTCGTGCCCCGGTCCGGGAAGATTCCCCAAAAAAAGTATAAAGTCTAAACACACAGATCTCAACGTACTATTTTTTTAACTATTTTTTTCGGACTGCCTCAGTATCGCAAGGCCTCGGGTCAGGCTTGCGTGCTGCTTTCAGAATCCCAGCCTAGTTCTTGGCTGGAGTAACTTCAGTCTGGGCTGTCTTGACTCACTCTATAAGAATGATTACTGTGTCTATTCAAGCCTAGTTTCCCCAAGTAGAACTTCCTACGAGACTGTTTTGATAGCATGCGACTTTTCGTTCCTTTAATGTGAAACAGCGAGCTTGTCTGCATTTCATGTAACCTCACAGTGTTCAGGCCCCGTCAGGCACTGGCTCTCAGAACCATTAACTTCCCAGCGTAAGTTGAAGTGCTCTTTAACTGTTGTGAGACGTAACCGTACACCTCGGTGTACCACCCGGCTCTGTTATGTGGGGAAAAGTAAGAGGTTCTCTTTTCTCTCTCTTTTTTTTTTTTTTGAGTAAAGCAGCATATTTTTGAAAAGCAAAACAGCCTGTGTTTTGAAAATGAAAATACCTGAAACAGCTTATCAAAGAGTGGAAAGAAACTGCCTTAGTTCTAACAGCACTGGTTCATTTGCTACCTTTATAGAAACCAGTGAAACAGCACGAGGGAAAGGCTCCTCATTTACCACCGTCAGGATTTTAAGAGAAAATGCCTGTTGATAGATTTATAAGATAGAGTTCTGTACCTTTAATTATGAGAATTGAAATTGCTCCGATTTCTTAAAATTATCCTGTTTAACTTAAAAGAGCTGATTCAGTGTGTACTGATTTTCTTGCTCAGAACTTGTTTTTCATTAGGTCTAAAAAGTACTGAGAGAACATAATGAAATTAGTTTTTGCTTTATTGGGTAACAGAAACACTTCTGATGCATTCATGCAATTTTACATTCTTCCACAAATTACTTTTCTGTAGATGTCTAATGTGATCAATTGCTTTTTTATTTTGTTATTTTTATTTGGATGCTGTGTCCCATAATTTGTGCTGATGACTCTAAAATTCCTGGTAAGTCCTTTCCTCTGCGTTTCCACGCAGCAGGGCACTTCTGACTGTTTCCGTGCTGCTTAATCATTAGCATCTACTCCTGCTACAAAACCTCCAAAACCTAATAATTGTCCCAGCATCCTTCTAGGCTTATACCTAGAGTATACTAAAGAGGTAGTTAATTTGTTCTCCTTGAGAAGGGAATTTTAATTTTTTTCTGAGATGTTTTATTTTTGTTCACTGACACGAAAAAGCGTGATTACACAAGTTAGTTACTTTCCCACCAGATACAGTTTTTGTTCCACAGAAACCAAGCAAGAGTCAAGTTGTTCGGTTTTTGTTTTTGTTTAGGAAAAAAATACACTCCAACAGTTCAGATCCAGAAGTTAACGTTTTCTGGGTTTGCTATGAATAACCTATAGGGTAACTAGTGATTATATAGATGCAGAAGTACACCTTGAGTGGTTTTATGTCGGGTTCCTGCAGTGGTTAGAGGTTGAACTCGATGGCCTCAGTGCTACTTTAATGTAAAATTTTGAGTCACCTCTTGTGCCGTGCCCAGGTCTGGAACAGAGAAGAAGTAAATGGTGAATGTGAGCTTTTCCAAGTCGCGTTACCTTAGGCTGTAACTACAAAAGTAGCTGTAGCCTGCGGACATGGCGAAAAGAGACCCTTACTCTGTTCTCGGCTAGTCAAATGCGCTTTTAATTCACGGCTCCCTGAGGCGTTTTCGACCTGTAGTGTACAGAGGGGTGTGACCAGGAGGGCGCAGGAGCTGAAAGCCGAGCGTCTCAGGTGTTTGAAGGTGTCCTTAAGTACTTGAATGGTATGAAGGACAGATACTAAATCTGTTTTGTATTGTGTCAGAAAGGCAGAACCTGAAGGACGAAAGACAGACAGCGATGAGGGGATGAATTTTAGAACAGTAGGAAGGCTTTTGGACTAGTAGTTACCACTGTCCTGGGAGGCAGGCTGTAGGCCCCAGACACTGAAGGTGCTCGAACAGGATGGACAGTTACTTGACAGACATGTAGCGGGACAGAGTTCCAGTAAGGTTCCTCCCAAATTTCAGCTTCACATTCTGTGAATCAGACTTTGGGGGATCCCTGAACTGGGCAGGAATTCTTGGCGTCTGGGCTGGGACCCAGAGGGAACGGACGGCAAAGGGCCAGGACGGGCACGGGCAGGAGGAGAGCTAGAAGCCGTGTCCCTGAGACGAGGCGGCCGCTGGCCCCTGGAGCTTCTGCTGCCCCGTGGGCCTCGCCCCACCCCCATCCAGAGGCTAGTTCACCTGCCACGGGCCGCGAGAGTGCGGAGTCTTTCTTGACCTTCACGGTGGAAACTGAACCGGGGCGAAGGAAGGGGGTGGGCCAGTGTGTCTCACGGCTCCGTACGTTGGAGCCTTCTCTGCCCCCACGTGAGCTGCTTAAGCTGAGTATGTCCTAGTGAAAGAACTGTGCTGTTTCACGTGTGAGCGTCCAGGGTAAATGCCTCCTCCTCTGAGCCACAGTCGATGGAAGCGTAGCTCTGGAGCGGTGGGGACGGAGTCGTTAGGTGGCGGGCTCTGGTGTCCGCCGTGACCTCCGCCTGGTGTCTGTTCTCAGCCGTGCGTGTGCTTGTGTCGTGTGCGCGTCCTGTGTCTGGCGCTGGGACGCTCCGGGCGCGCACTGAACGGGACCTGTCCTCAGTTGCAGGACGAGGAGCGGCGGCGGCAGCAGCAGCTGGAGGAGATACGGACCCGGGAGGCTGAGCAGCGGGCCCGGCAGGAGGAGCAGCGGGCCAGGCGCGAGGCCGAAGAAAAGGTCCTGGTGCTCTGAGGGCGAGGGGTGCGCGGCTGAGGGACCCGGGACGCGCAAGGGGGCCGCCGTTGAAACTGGAGCCCGGTCGGCCAGCCGGGCCGTTGAAACTGGAGCCCGGTCGGCCAGCCGGGCCCCGGCCCTGTCCTCTGAGCTGTCATCCCCTTTTCCCCGGGCTGTCCCCCTCCCCCTTCTCCTCCTGCTTGTCCCCCTTCCCCCTTCTCCTCCGGGCTGTCCCCCTCCCCCTTCGCCTCCTGGCTGTCCCCCCTCCCCCTTCTCCTCCTGGCTCTCCCCCCACCCCCTCTCCTCCGAGTCTTGTCGCTCAAGCTTGTGGACTGTGGGGCCTCTGTGTGCTCGGGGCTCTGGTCTTTGCTGGACGGGGTCCAGCTTGTCACTGTGAAGGTGACAAGTGTCCAGTTGTTCACAGGGAGGTCGGGCCGTGGGAAGGACAGGAAACTAGGAAGTCACTGTTAACCTTAAGGGTTTCAAATCGGTTATTTCATGACTTAATTCTGGTCAGGGGTGAAGAGAGCAAATGGCTTATAGAAAACACGATACAAGGACATTTAATTTAGTGTGTAATCTGGTAGATGTCCCGAGTTATTGCTTTGTTTCCGTATGTGGGTTTCTGAGATTCAGGTAATCCTTTCAATTGCCTTTAACATGACAGCACACGAGCTCCCCTGAGAAATGGGCGCTTGGTGATGCTGCCCTCCAGGCCCTGCCGTCTGTGGGCGCGTCACCGCGGCTCTGGGCTCGCTTCTGGGTCTCTCCAGGGCTGGCCGGTCCCTGGACAAGGTGTGGGAGAAGCTGGCCTTCCGTTACTTCCCTTCTGTGAAGGCGGGAGCTCTGAGGTCATGGCTCCTGGTGGGGAAAGTCCAGCGAGCACCCTCATGGCGCACCCTGCAGGAGGAAGCTTGGGGGGCTCTGATAGTGATGGGGTCTGTGGGGACGCGACAGGCAGAGAGTAAGACAGTGGAAATGACGGATGACTTGGTTAAGTGCGAGCCAGGTAGATGACGTGGGCACACCTGCACTGAAACGAGCCATGTCTACGGTCTGTTGGCCTTTGCCGTCCCGGTCATCGTGCTGTCAACTGTGCCTGAAGAGCTTGTGCGCTGTTCCCAGAGTCTGGGGTTTCGTGGTGAGGCTCCCCTCGAGCTTGTCAAAGTCAGTAATGCATCTAAGGAAATGGGGTTTCCACAGTTTGAGCCACTAGACCCGGGTTTTACAGTGTCTGTTGTGCTGCTGTCCCGGGGCTGCTCGCAGGGTGTGTTTTCCTGGCCGGGCCCCTCAGCTGTCTGTCCCACCTCTGCCTGAGCCCTCGGCCACCTGGGAGTAGTGCCCGCGGGGAGGCGGCCAGGCCGTGTTCTCCACGTTGGGAAATTCCTGGGTTATTTGACTTTTTTCCAGTGTGCGTTCTCACAACTCGTGATTACGTCAGGTGCACCTGTGTGTGGGTAACTGCTTCTATAATTGAGCACTCAGTGTAAAAGGAAGCCGAATAACCTATTTTTTGTAGAGAATGTGCAAAATTGATGGGTTTCTCTGTCCTAGGAAAACGTGCCGTTCACTTTCGGGTAGAATGAAGTCTTCTCGGTTCATGTGCCTGTACACCTGCTCTTAGTGTAACTGAAAGAACATGTTGTGGTTTCCCTAAAATGTGACCAAGTGAGCTTTGTTCACATAATACTAAGATTCCTCACAGCTCCACTTAAGCTCTGCGGAGGTCATTCCAGATTTAATTCCCCACTCTAAGAGAACGCTCATTTTGTGTAGAAAATAAGGTAAAAATGTTTTTCCTTCAGGGTGTCTCAACATAGTGTAAGAAGATGAAGTGAGAAATGGGGCCCAGGGCCAGGATTGAGGCTGGCACCTGTTCTTAGCGTTTTCTCCCTCAGAAGGTGAAGCTTTGCCCACTGTGTACTCGTGTGTGTGTGTGTGTGTGTGTGTGTGTGTGTGTGTGGTGTGGAGGGAGTAGGGAGAAGACACAGTGCGCAAAGTGAAATGGGGACTAAAAACTTCAATCCTAATGCCAGCGAGGCCCCTGAAATTGGCCCCTCCCGTTGAATGAATTTAAAGTCCACTGCGCTTCCGTTCTGCGCACATGGTGCATTGAACATTCCTCAAGTTAAGGCGGTTACTGTTTGATCTTTCAGCTCTTTTCTTCTTCACTTGTCTCTTGTGTTCTGAAACTTCTGTCATCTTTAACAAAACTGCGCTGTTACTTTTTTCAATGTTAAGTTAACGCTGTCAACTGTGGTTTGTGCAGATACATGTCAGAAAAAACGTGCAGTCCGTGTCGAAATACATTTGGCTGTCTTGTTTCCTGGCTCTCTCAGTTTTCTGTTTGGCGGGAGTTTATTAAGATTTGAAATACCAATTAAAAACCGTGGAAAGCATATTGGTTGTGACCTTGGAAAGATGAGTCATGTTTTTTTACAGTTCGGGGTTTCCTAGTCGCTTCCCTCTGAATACCTAGAAGTCAGCCAGGTGACCTAATCACGTCCTTCTTGTCAAGGAGGGACCGCTCTTCTGAGCTTACTGGGGTTCGGTGGAAAAGCACACAGGGCTGCACTTCGGGGAGTGCCAGCTCTAGAAAGGCAGGTGCAGCCTAGCTTTGGGGTGCCTGTGTCTTTAAAGTCAGGAGTGACAGGTAAGTTACTGTCCCACCGGCAACAGAAGGAGAGAGAGAGAAGCGGCTGGGGATGGGACAGCCACGTGGTACCTGGGGCTGGGGCCCTGACAGCTCCTTCATTCCTCCCTCCCCCGTCCCCACGCGGTCTGGCGTCGGAGACCGAGTCCCAAGGGAAGACGGTGTCCGGGTCCATCCGCCGTGGTGCTGGGGGACCCGGGGCAGGCCCGTCCCTTCCTGCCCGCTGACCTCGCGCTTCTGTCCACTGCCACAGAGGCGACAGGAGGAGGGGTATTACAGCCGCCTGGAGGCCGAGCGGCGCCGACAGCACGACGAGGCCGAGCGCCAGCTGCTGGAGCCCGAGGAGCTGGGCCTGGGCCGCCCTCCGCTCCCGCGGGGCTACGAGCCCTCGGCCCCCGCGCCCCCGCCGCCGCCCCAGCGCACCGCCTCCTACCTGCAGGCGCAGGTGCTCTCCCCCGACGCCCTGTACACCGCCAAGCTCGTGGCTTACACCGAGGAGGACGACGATGAGGACGGCGGCCTGGCAGGTCAGGATGCGCCTCCCGCGCCAGGCCCTCCCCCCGCCGCGGCGCCGGCCTGCGGTGGCGTCTTCCCCTCCAGCCCACCCCCCGCCCCTGCCACCAAGCCGAGCTTCTGCCGTCTGTCCGGCAGCCCCTCCGCTCCGCCCGCCATGGAGCGGGGCTCTCTCTGCTCCACCGCAGCCGGAAGGCCGGCGTTCCTGCTCTGGGGCAGGCCCTCTCAGGGCGCCAGCAGTGATCTCCGCACTGGAAACCGTCCCACTTACGCAGTCAGCCGGCAGCGGCAGCCCTCCGTCCCCCTAATCGCTTGAAGCGCTATTGGTCCCGGCCCGCGTCCCCTACCTCAATAAGTGGGTGCGCGCTCGAGCATCTCGGTGTCCACAGTTAAATTTCTTCCTGTCGCTAGTGCCGTCGGCCCCTGTGTACTTCCAGCTGTTTAGCACACGCAGAACTTCGTGTTGCCGGCTGAGCCGCCCTGTCGGGGTGGGTGTGAAGCGACCCCTGCCCGAGCCGGCCCCGTCCCTCCCCGTCCCTCCCACGCTCATACGTCCCGGCCCTGCTGGCCAGGCCCAGGCGGCGTGCGGCTGCCTCTGGCCGTGACCCTCCGTGGACCGCAGAGCACACCCACGGGTGCTGCAGGCCCGTGTTCCTAATCAGCTTTGGAGACAGCGCTGAAAGTTAGATTGAAAGTACAGCTGTGCGTTATCAAGATTCAGGCTTCAGCCTGGTCTGGCCACTTTAAACATTGGGAGGCTGGCGGTGAACATGCTCTAACTGAGTCTTCTCGGTTCTGCAGAGTCCGTGCATCGGGCTCCCGGCAGTTCTAAAAGAACTGACTAGTCAAACTGAAGTAACCGTGACTCGTAGGTAAACGAGTTTTACTAGGATCTTTCTTGCCACCTGAGTCAGAGCTCTGAGTCACTTGGGAGGTTTAGTAGATAATCCTTAGGTCGAGTCACTTAGAAGCCAGCGTTAAATCTTTCTGTAAAATTTCTGTTGCAAATATCTAGAATGTGGTACCTTGAAAGACCTGTGTGATAATAGCAATTTTTGAAGCAAGATGCCATCAGATTGCAGGCTGAACCTTAGCTGTTTTGTGAGTGTCGTGACACAGATAAATAGGTTTGGTGAGGGATATCGTAGTGCGGTGTCCCTTCTAGCCATCTGGGCTTTCAGTCACATCACTAACCCTTCTATTTCACACTAAAAGTACCGCATGGGAGCAGGTTACACCCTGCGTCTGGTCGCTCCTGCTTCTTGAAGATTCCTCGTAAAGTGCAGAGCTGTCTGCGTTCTGCCCTCGTGTCCGCCAGCTCCCCCACTGTCTCACCCTGTTCAGCTCCCCCCTCTGCCATGAGCCTCTGTGGCCTGGACTCGGTTCTTCCCCTGATGCTGTGAGGAGTAGGGTTAGGGTACGGATTGGAATGGATGATGTCAAATTTTAGCATAGCAACGTGTTAAAAAATGTTCTTTACTAAAGCTCTTTGAAAATGATTTGAAGAATGTGTAGTGTTGGGCTTCCCTGGTGGCGCAGTGGTTGAGAGTCCGCCTGCCGATGCAGGGGACACGGGTTCGTGCCCCAGTCCGGGAAGATCCCACATGCCGCGGAGCGGCTGGGCCCATGAGCCATGGCCGCTGAGCCTGCGTCCAGAGCCTGTGCTCCGCAGCGGGAGAGGCCACAACAGTGAGAGGCCCGCGTACCGCAAAAAAAAGAAAGAAAAAAAAAAGAATGTATAGTGTTACTTCATATATAGTCAGCCGAAACTGTTCGATATTCTGATGAAAAATTCTGAAATTTTTCAAGAACTGATTTTTACCAGTGGGAAGAAGCAAGTATTCTTAAAGCTCAAAAGATAAAACACAACGTTTTTAAGGCAAAATGAAGGAAAAATATAGAATTAAAATTGAAAGCTTTCCACTCTGCAAATAATTTATCTAAAGGCCCGGAACAGATTACTTTAAGTTAGAGATGTGTTTCTCTTTAATCTTTTGAGTCTTGGCGGAGGGTGACTTCCCGGGCCACGATCCGGTGGCCTGTGCTAACTCGTGAGGGAAGATGCGGTGCGTGCAGGGACCCGTCAGAAGTGACTGAGCTCCGTCTTGGACGTATCAGACATGGCTGCACGTCACACGCTCCTTTTATAAAGGGAAGAAAGAAACATAAGCATTCATTTTTGTGCAACCTGTCTGAAAAGGATAATTTTAGTGTTGAAATATTGTGATAGTTTTGTGGCCTGTTTAACCCAGTGCACGACACTGTCAGTGTTTGCTGAGTACTTTGAGCGTTTATTCCTTCACCCTAGGTTATAAGCAAAAGATTTTTCAACGTGTGAAATTTTCTTGCTGATGTTAACCGTTAGCAGAAGTACCTTAGCACCGATTTAATCGTACATCCTTAGCGGCACTATTACCTACATTCGGATGTGTCTGAAGCTTTTTACGTGCATCTTCCCTTTTGATCCTCAGCAGCCCTTTGCAGTAGACGAGCACGTGGTGCTGGTACCAGGCCGGCCCACGTCACTCGCCCACAGTTACCGGCCGGGCCGGGCAGGTGTCTTGACGGCCACCCCGTGCTGATCCAGGTCTCCTTTTTGTCTTGTCAGTGATTTTGTATACACAGCGTTAGTATCAAACGTTAGGGGGTTTTGGTACCTCATTTTTTCCAAAAGTTTTAAGAATTCTAGCCATTTATTTTGTGGGGGAACAATTCAGTAGCTGTCCTGAAAAGAGGAGCATTACTTCTTCATCTTCGGGTTACGTTTGCTGTTGGTGATTTTGTAAGAAAATTCTTCGTGTCAGGAGTGTCTGAAAAATGTTGCCGTCTCCCCACTTGAGTCAGTCTTCTGTGGATTTTTATCGTGAATTCATGATACTTACACATTTTACCTGATTTGAACTTTCCGGCTGTTAGCCCCTGAGACTTATGCTGGTTTCCTCTCTAATAGTAAAAGGCAGCAGGCCAGGCACTTAGCGCCTTGTGAGGGTCCTGACTGGGTTGCTCAGGCCACCGAGGGATGTGAATGTCCAGTTGTTGGATCTTTTACTGATTTGAAGAGCCTTTGGCTGCTTTATTCAGGACTTAAAGACGTCATGAGCACTGCATCGTCATCATGAGTGAAGTTTGGGAACTAATGCAAGTACTTTAACTTTGACTTTTCCTTTTATGGGAAAGGACCCAACTCTTACGTGGGATCTGCTGGGACACTGATCGGGGCCCACGACGTTTACCGCGATCCGAGGGAGAAACTGTCTAAAAGGTATTTGCTAGAACGTGTGCTGGACGAGTGTCTCGTCCTCAAGGACTTTTTTCTTGCACCACCGTTTATGAGGCTGGGCTGAAATGTCCGACTTCGTGGTCAGCTCAGGTGTTTCTCATTGTACAGAACTGTGTGAGCACAGAGGCTTTGTTTTATCTTGTGTTGCTAACATAGTTCTACTTCAGACGGTGCGTAGGTACCAGGCTTTCTGGTCAGAACTTTAGAAGCAGCTGGACACATTGCTGTTCGCTTCCACCAAAGAAGGTCGCAAAGTCCAGGGCAAAAAGCCCAGGTGTCCTGATGGACCGCGAAAGGCCGCCCCCTCAGGCTTCAGCGAACGTCCTCAACTAGGTTTTAGTCAGAACGGCTGATGCCCAAACAGTTCTTAAGTCATTGACGTTGAACTAATCCAGAAAACCTTTAGCATCTTACTGTAACTTTTTATGAAGTTAGTATGTTGATAGATGCCTCTCGGATACATGTAGGATTCATTAAAATGCTGGGTTTGAAAACGACCCTCTTTAGTTCACCTCAACTACTGAGCAGCATCTGCTTGCTGAAACTGAAGTTGCTGGCCTTTTGAGAGTTGGGTGTGACTGGAGAAAGTTAACATTTTAGTAAGGAGAACATTTTGCCCTTTTTCTACACGGGTTTAAATACAGCCCACAGGCAGGAGTATGAGAAAATTTAACAAAGAATGAGTCTTTGTTCTAACTTTTACGTAATTGCGCATTATGTAAACTTAGCTACTCGTTGACGGGTTGTTTCTATTTTGAAGAGTAACCCTTTGCATTTCCTTCCAATGCAGCCAAGACGCGGATGTAGCTGGGGGTCCTGGAGCCCCTGAAAACCTGACGTTCAGAGAGCGCCAGCGCCTCTTCTCCCAAGGCCACGACGTCTCCAACAAAGTGAAAGCCTCTCGCAAATTAACGGAGCTGGAGAACGAGCTGAACACGAAGTGAGGACGGCC